CACCGCCATCGGGTTGGCCTGCACAGCTGCCGCCACCGACTGGAAGTCCTCGCCAGCCTCCGGCGCCAGCGAGACCGTCGGCTCCATTACGCCGACCATCGAGCACGACGCCTCCCCGTCGCCTCCGCTCTTGCCGCTGGAGTGGTCGACGTCCTTCGTCGACGACGTCTTCTTCGACGTCTCCTTCTCCCTGCGCTGCATCTCATTTCGACGGGGGCGATTGCTGGTCGACCGGCCACGGCCTCCCTTGGTGTCGTCCTCGTCGCTGTCGTCGCGGTCAGGACATTCGTAGGAAAGATGGTCGGGATCATGGCAGATCCAGCACTCTCGCCGTCGACCATCACCTCCACGGCCCTTGCCCCGCATCGACCTTTTCTCGTCGACGTCCTTCGTCGACCGCCCACCTCCGCTACCACCGCCGCCATGCATCCTGCGCTGCCCTGGCTGCTGATTCAGCTTCGTTGGTGCAGCGTAGTTTGCTTGGGGAAGGAGCTCCGTGGGCTGTTCGGCCTCCTGCATCGCCTCATCTTGAAGAATATAGCTGGTGATGGAGTCCTCGTCGAGGGACTCGCGTGTCCCGGGTACCATCATCATCCTCTTCATGAGGTTGTAGCCGCGTGGCAGGCCCTTGACAATGTGGGAGATGTAGGACGCTGTCGAATATTCGGCGCCCGCCATCCGCATCTCAGCCAGGATCCGTCGAGCACGGTTGCAGTAGTCCGTCGCCGACTCCTACTCACCCATCCGAATGTGAGTCATCTTCTCCTCCAGCTGTGCGATGTACAAGTCATCCCTGACCTGGTACGTCGACAGGATGAAGTGCCATGCCTGGTGACCAGCATCCAGTCGCTCTCGACAGCTCCTGAGCGCCAGTTGCACCACCGGCGAACAGCACCTCGAGATGACCATGAAGGTGAGTAAGTGAGCCGCACGAAATTCTCCGCGTAGCCCGACATCGTCCACGGGCGGAATTGGCACTGTGCCGTCGGCGAAGCCCTTCAGTCCGGTGACCTCCAGCTGAGGCTCTATCGACTCCCTCCAGGTGATGAGGTCTCGTCAACCTTGCAACGAAGCGACGGTGATCCGATCCGGCGAGAACTTAAAGTAGCCATAAGTCGGTGCAATCCCGCCCGTCGTCACATGCGTCATCGCCGAGAGCCCTCCACCGTTTCGTAGAGGAGAGCGAAGTCGACCATCGACGTCGGCCCGCGAGCTACCTGCAGCTGTCGTCGACTGCTGCACTCGCGCCTGACTCCTGTCGACGCCACCATCGACCTTGATCACTCCTCTCTAATTCGTGCCATTGCTGCCGCTGGCTCGTGCACCGCCGTCGACGTCGTCGTCGGCTTGTTAAGTAGGGTTACAGACTCGTTATCCTAGGGGATTACGGGCACACTAACCCGCTACTTAACAAGCCCTTTTACAGGCGCACTAACTCGTTGTTCTGACAGCCTGCGCCCCCAGTCGCGAACGTCCCTGCTTCTCTCGATGAGACAGCTCAGGAACCTACTGTTGGTTTCGCTAAGCTGGCGACGCTAAGCTTCGCAAATGCTGAAGTGGTAGGAGATGATGCATATAACGATGGTGATGGATTTGACTAAGTAGATTAGTGAAATGCTCGTGGATGTATCCCGCCCTTACTATCTTGCATAAACCAAAACCATCAGTATTACTAAAAACACAATCAGACTTGCCATTGGTGTGAACTCTGATTGATCATTTTTTTTTTTTTGCCCTTGACTCTGAAATTTCAGCTTTTTTTTTTGTACCGTGTCTGATTGATCAGACTAAAATTGTGTATTAAGTCTGACGAATCAGACAGGTCGAAAACGAATCTGAGGGCCTGACCCCAACCAACCTTAGTCAACACCTTCTTGACACCATCCGCATATGCATATATGTATATATACACATATATATATTTAAACGCGGATGGGGCAGGGTTCGTGCATTTTCAGTGCGGCCTGAATTTGTTTTATGCATTGTGTATATACTATGCAACCCAGTTAAATGCAAAGTTGCGTATAATTCATGTTTTTCTTTGGTTGGGAAAAAAACACCGCTGTATGAGTTTTGGCAAGGCAAGAAATTTTGGCTCTGTAAGGAAAATCACTTTTCCTTACTTCATATCACTGCATACAGCGTACAGGACTATTTCCGCGACAATACCCCAACGGTAATCCGTTACCACCCCGCGACACTTGTCTTGACATTGTTCCCGCCAATGTCACGGCTCGGCTGGTGACCCGCGACCCGGCCCTCCGCCTCGACAAAACCCTGTCAAATTAGGCTCATAACTCACTGCTTAGTTACCTAGGGTTTTGGCTAGGAAACGTGAGTATGGAGAGGAAGGTTTGGCAAAAGAGGATGATTGATTAGAAAGGAAGGTACAAGTAGGAGAAAGGGTGGGCAAGATGGTGCACCACCAACAATAACAGTAACACTGCACAGTAGCTACACTAGCAGGCAGTTATAAGAAATTTACAATTTCTAACTCACCCCCTAACTGCCTGCAGTGGGAGCCACGTGCAGAGACACCAGATCATAGTTCACTCCAGCCACCCCTTGTCCCTCCTCCCCCACTGCAGTAGGTGTGGCAGTAGGAGGTGGCTGCTGCTGAAACACGTCCGCCACCCCCTCACCCTCCCCCCACAGCAGCAGGCGCAGCCGTGAGAGAGGAGGAGGCGCGGAGGCAGCTGCTGCTGCTGAAACACATCCGCCACCCCCTCACCCTCCCCCCACAGCAGCAGGCACAGCCGTGAGAGAGGAGGAGGCGTGGCGGCAGCTGCTGCTGCTGAAACACGTCCTCCAACCCCTCACCCTCCCCCAACAGCAGCAGGCGCAGCCGTGAGAGAGGAGGAGGCGTGGCGGCAGCTGCTGCTGCTGAAAAACATCCGCCACCCCCTCACACCCTCTCCCCCCCTCCCCTCACAGCAGCAGGCGCTGCCGTGAGAGAGGAGGAGGCGTGGCGGCAGCTGCTGCTGCTGAGGCACATCCGCCACCCCCTCACACCCTCTCCCCCCTTCCCTATCTTGGGGGGGGGGGGGGGGGGGGGGGGGGGGGGGGGGGTATGAGCTGCGCGTGCGACTGCAGGGCGTGCGGGCAGGCAGAAACCGTCGCACGCTCGAGGCGTGCGACGGGCAGAAACCGACGCGCGCCCGGGGCGTGCGACGGGCAGGAACCGATGCGCAGCCGGGGCGTGCATCGGGCAGAAACCGACGCGCAGCCGGGGCGCGCATCGGGCAGAAACCGACACGCACCCGGGGCGCGCATCGGGCGGAAACCGTCGCGCACCCGGGGCGCGCGACGGGCAGGAACCGACGCGCAGCCGGGGCGCGCATCGGGCAGGAACCGACGCGCAGCCAGGGCGCGCATTGGGCAGAAACCGACGCTCGCCCTGGGCGCGCGACGGGCAGCTTGACGGACAGTGCCTTAGCGGAAGCTAATGGTGGGCCCAAAGATGAAGGCTCTAGGAACGAGCCTGCTCTGAATACCATGTCAAATTAGGCTCATAACTCACTGCTTAGTTACCTAGGGTTTTGGCTAGGAAACGTGAGTATGGAGAGGAAGGTTTGGCAAAAGAGGATGATTGATTAGAAAGGAAGGTACAAGTAGGAGAAAGGGTGGGCAAGATGGTGCACCACCAACAATAACAGTAACACTACATAGTAGCTACACTAGCAGGCAGTTATAAGAAATTTACAATTTCTAACAAACCCAACCTCGGCGCCACGCCCGTCGCACACCCCACAAACCACTTTGCTCGTGCCTTCGCACAATTGTATCTTTTTGCCTAGATAGTGCAAGTTTTTTCACTCACTCAATTGCACACGTAACATTAAGTCAAAACGTTCCTCTGCTTCAAAGAGTACAGCGATTTTTAGCTCGGCTCAGATGTTACCCGGCCTTTACCCTGTAGATGGCGAGTACCTCGGCCTGGCCGAGTGGCTCGGGCGCGTCACTCTTTTTTGAACAAGTGCCCCAAAACGATTTTTTAGCCCTGCCTCGCACAAACAACTGGTTGTTAACCGACGTTGATAGAACCGCCAGTTTTTAGCAGTTCTTTGCCCCGTAAACTGAGCACTTAGTTCACGACCATACACCTCCTCGACCGTCAAGTGCCACAAACTGGCCAGACATTTTTCCGATGGTGAACAGACCAACGCGGTGAGACGAGTCGGTGGCTTTACCCATTATTGTACCCATCCAAGCAACTCGACTCACCGCGAAGAAACATCAACAGAAGCGGAGGTCGCGGGTTCTAAGCCAGCTGAAACCCCCGAGTATCGCTAACATCACCGCCGCTGACTGCACCGCCGCTAATTTTTTTGGCGCTTCAATAACAGCACCGCCGTTGACATTGCTGCCGCTCGCGGGCTCGGAGGTACTTCGGAGCCAATCCGAGCTTCTGAACCGACCCAAATGCCATCTGAACCAAATCAAAAGGCCTTTTTAACCGACGCAATGCCATCGAAGGCAGCTGAGCCGCGGCGATCGCTGACAGCAGCGGAGCTGGCGGGATACAGCGCTCTCCCTGTGTACTCGTTCCTCGGCCTGCGCTTCCTCTCCGCCTCCCCCCATCGCGTCATAGCTACTCTCGTCTCCTCGCCCTCCTCCGCCCAGGTAGAATCGAACTCTTCTCCATCTCCTCATTATCCCCTTCGTTTCCCTCGCTTTCTCCCGCTCCTTGCCTCCTTCCCACCTCGTTCCCCACCTCCTTGCTAAAGGTTATTGCTGGGTGGTGCCCTTCTGGGGGGCGTGGAAATGCCATCATTCGCTGCACTCCCGTTCACTCCTTCCCCACCTCTTCGCTTCCTCTCCGCCGCGCATTCCCTCCGGTCAGGTACTACTCGCCCCTTCACATCTCCTTACACCCCTTTTCCCCCCGCTTGGCCCGCTCCTTGCCACCCGCTCCTCACCTCCTTCCCACCTCCTTCCCACCTCCTCCTCGCCTCCGTTTTAACTCCTTGCTGGTAGTTGTTGCTGGTGTCCGCTTCTGAATGGCGCGGCGTGGCGGTGCCATGCGTTTCTCTCCCCCTGCACTCCTTCCTCGCCCCGCGCTTCCTCTCCGCCTCTGCCTGTGCGTTCCTCTCCTTTGTCCTCGCCTCCTCGCCTCCTCGCCCTCCTCCGCTCAGGTGATGGTTACCCCTTTCCATCTGCTCACCACCACCCCCTTCCTCCCCTGCTTGCCCTCTCCGTTCCCACCCGTTCATCACCTCCTTTCCAACTCCTTGTTGGTGGCAATCGCCGGTGCCCTTTTGGATGGCGTGGAGGTGCGACATCGTGGACAAGTTCGTGCGCACAAAAGCGTGCATCGGATGCTCTTATCCGTCTCCGCTTCACTCCTCCCCACTCCTGCGCACTCCTCCCTCCCCACTCCTTCCCACTCTTCCCCATCCCTTCCAGCTGCTTAGCAATCTACACGGGGGGTGTCAGCTTTAATAGTAGGCAGTCTAGGCGCCGCCGTCGCTGCTGGTGCTCCGGTGGTGGGGGTGCGCCGTCACTTTTTCCCCTTCTTCGCTCTCCTGTAAACTCCTCCCAGCCTCTCCCCACTCCTCCCGTCTCCTTCCCACTCTTCCCCACCGCTTCCAGCCGTTAGGCAACCTGCATGGGGGGGTGTCAGCGCTGGTCACGGAGGCAGTGGGCAGTCTAGGCGCTGCTGTCGCTGCTGGTGCGCCGGTGGTGGGGGTGGAAGTGGCATGCAGTCACCTCAGAGGGGCACCCATTGGCACTCCTCTCATTGCTGTTGGCACTCCCTTGAGAGTCGGCCGCACCGTTCAGGTGTGTGTGGGGTGTGGGAGTGAGTGTGTGGGTGTGTGAGTGGGTGTGTGTCTGTGTATGTGTGTGTGTGTGGGTGTGTGTGTGTGTATGTGTGTGTGGGTGTGTGTGTATGTGTGTGTATGTGTGAGTGGGTGTGTGTGTATGTGTGTGTGGGTTTGTGTGTGTGTGAGGGGGTGTGTGTGAGGGGGTGTGTGTGCGCGCGCGCGTGCGTGTGATGACGCATTGCAGGCAGATTTAGCTGCAAACCATCCACAAACCATTAGACGATTCACAAACCGTTTATAAACCATTGACACACCACTCAACCTTTCTCAAACCATTCACAAATCCAGGTGTGGGAGGTCCGCCTGTCAGCTTCAAGCGACCGTGTGCCGGCACAACAAGGCGAGCCAGCGCCTGCTAGCGAGGTGACTCTTGAGTCGACTCAAAAGGCAGCAGCAACATGGTCTCGTCACTTGCCCTCCCTATCGCACTCACAGTCACCAGACAGCAAGGCAGGCCCGAGCCTAGAGCCTCAGCAGCAGCCGTTGCCACCTGATTGCACACCTGAGGGTTTTACGGCTGGCCGATTGCTGGCAGTGGGGCGACTGACGTGTGTTGCCTTGCCCCAGAGCCGTGGAGGAGGGGCGAATGGGGAGAATGGGAATGGAGGGGAGGCGAAAAGGAATGGAGGCGGCGAGAAGGAAGCGAACGGGAGTGGAGGAGAAGCATCGAGGCGAGAGGAAAGTGGAGCGTTGGGAAACCGAGAGGAGGGAAGTGCAGAGGCGGAGCTGAAGCAGCGGATCGGGGAGAGTAAGGATGAGCATGAGGGCGCATGTGCATGTCTCTGCCTCGAATCCCCTCGCTTTGACTCGCCGCCCTTCAACCGTCTGCCCATCCACAAGTTCATCGGCCTTCGCTTCCTCTCTGCCTGCCCTCACCGCGTCGTTGCGGCGTTCGTCTCGTCTCCAGCAACCGCTCAGGTACTGCTGCTGGCTGGTCAAAAGGTGACTTGTGATTCGACCTTAAAGGCATCTCCTGCAGCCACTCAGGTACTGCTGCTGGCTTCTGTCTGTGTATGTATGTCCATGCCTCTCTTTCACTCTCTTGACCCCTCTCCTCCCCCACGTTCCCCTCATTTCCTCTCATCCCGTCTCTATCGCCCTTTCATTGATAGGAGCGGTATACACACGTGCAAGGTATACACCCGTCTCTCTCTCGTTCTCTCTCATTCTTTCTCTCAATTGCTCTCCTCCCCCCTCCTTTCCCAGCCCTTCAACAACCTGAAGGGGGGAGAGGGGGTTATCAGCCCTTATCGAAGAGTCTGTGTGGGAGCAAGCCTAACAGCAGCAGGAACGCTAGCAGGCGTTACAGGGACGATGGCAGGACTGGTAGTAGGCATCACAGGGATGGGACGACTAGACAGCAAGTCTTGCAGCAAGGGGGGCAGAGGCAGAATGCCCAAGAGAGCACACACCTCCTCGTACACTCCCCTGTCATCCTCTACCCCTCCCTCCCCCCCCCCATCCCAGCCCTTTAACAACGTGCATGGGGGAGTATCAGCCATAGTCACGGAGACGCTGGGCACTACGGGCTCGAGCCTAGCAGCAGGGGGGCTGGTGGTGGGAGTGGAGGTGGCCATCAGCCATCTCAGGCCGTGCCCCCTCGGCACTCCCGTGGTTGCTGTCGCTGTGCCGCTGCGAGCGGGGCGCACTGTTCAGGTATGCAGGGCAGCAAGTAGGGATGATCACACTAGTAGCAGGGGGAGTGGAGCGAACCTAGCAGCAAGGGATGCAGTGGCAAGAGTATAGGTGGCCACCAGCCACAGCCTAGGCCGTGCTCCCTCGGCACTCCCGTTACCACTGTTGCTGTTCGTCTGCTCCTGACTGTGCAGATAGTGAGGGGCAGCAGGTAGGGACAAGTTAGGAGGGTTGAAGGGGACCAGCAGGTATGCCGTCTTCAGGAATTGCTGCTGCTTGTTTGCACCCACTGCTTCGTGACGGTTGGGTCGACTCAAAAGACAGGCATGTACTCACTGCTTCCTCGTATCGCCCACTGCCTCTCATCTGTTGCGGTCCCTTCATTGCCTCTCAGGTGTGGGAGGTGCGCTTATCCGTCCAAAAGCTAGACAAACAGAGGCGAGACGAGCAGAGGCGAGACGAGCAGAGGCAGAGCCATCGGGATGTGGGAGATGCGTCTGGAGGGAGGACTAATTTGAGTGCTCCTAGGGCAGGGCAACTACTGGCAGTGGGACGGCTGACAGCGGTGGTGGTGGGCAAGGGGGATGGCAAGGAGAGGAGCAAGGCAAGGCTGTGAATGGAATTGTGGTGACTCCAAGTGGTGCAGTCTATTGGTATCGTCTGGCGGTGGGGCGGATGACAGTGGTGGTGCTGGAGAAGGGAATGGGGAGGAAAGGAGGAAGGAGAAGCTGTGATGGAATGGTGGTGACGCGTAGTGTATTCTGAACATGATCATTACTGTATTATCCCACCTTCCCTACTCTATATCTTGTAACAATTCCAACAGTGAAGTGAACCCCTTCCTTCTCCCGAAACTCTTTAGTCATGCTCCTAGGCTAGGGTTTCTCCTAACCTAAGCCTAGGTAGTTCTCTATTCTGACATCCTAATGCGTCACAACAATACCAGTTGGCATCTAAATTTTGAGATCGGTCTTGGCAATTACTTCTACAGTATGTAATCTACTAATTTCCAGTACGGTACTAGCAATCACACCACACCACACGCCCTGAGGCATGCGCCAAGCTCACCCTGAAAATAAGAGATCCAGAGCATTCTCGCTTGCCAACGAAGCACCCGAGGCAGAATCTTCGTCTTCATGTACATTCCGGATAACCTCTCTGCGCCTCGCACTCCTTCCCGATTCAATAAATACTCCTCTTTTACACCACTCAGCCTGGCTTCTCCCCTCAGCCAACCCACTGTCAAACACATTCACATGCCTGAGCGCCCTGGTCTCTCTAAGCGAGTCCGGGAGAGTTATGAGCGCCACACATCCCTGCAGATGCAGCACTTCCAGTCGCGGCACCAGGCCCATGTGGGGAGGCAGGGAGAGCAAGTGGTTGCAGAAGCTCAAGTCGGCCACACGTGATTGAAGAAGTGTTTTGAGACGTCTCAAAGTAGTCGCTCACTTCCCCCTCAGTTTTGAGACGTCTCAAAACACTTCTTCAATCACAGGGAGAGCAAGTGGTTGCAGAAGCTCAAGTCGGCCACACGGAGGGACGGCAGGGAGGGGAAGGAGGTGGACAGGTGGGTGAAGGAGTCGCAGTGGGTGATTGTCAGCTGGGCCAGTCGGGGCAGGGAACCGAAGCCATCAGGGAAGGTGGAAAGTTGCGGGCACTTTGTGATGGTGAGGTGGACGAGGGAGGCAAGCGAGGAGAACGAGTCGGGGAGGCTGTGCAAGCGCGAGCAGGAGTGGATGGAGAGGCGTCGGAGGGCGCCTAGGGAGCCGAAATCAGTGGGTAGGGTGACAAGACAGTTGCTACCGGTGATGGTGAGTATGCGGAGGTGAGAGAGGAGGCAGAAGGAGGGAGGCAGGCTGGGAAGGGCTGGACAGCTCAGAGATGCTTCTTGCAGGTAGGACAGGCCGCTGAGAGCGCCTGGAAGCCGATCCAGACTGTCAGATTCGACAGAGAGAAACTGCAACGCGCCTAGCCTCGCCAGGGATGCTGGAAGGCCGTTCTCCGAGACATGCCCTTTCAGCTCTAGCCACTCCAGAGCCGCCAGCTGGCCAATGTTCTCTGGAACGACAGGCTCGGTGTGTGCAAGGTGGGCATGGATCCGAGTGCAATAGGCACTCTTCTTGATTGATAGCTTGTGGAGTGAGAGCAGGCGGGCGAGGTGAGGAGGAGGAGAAGGAACGAAAACACCTGTGAGGTGAAGATCGGTTAGGGAAGTTAAGTGGGAGATGAATGAGGGCAGGGTGAGGTGACTGCCCTCCGAGCTCGTGGTGCTGGTGGTGGTGGTGCTGCTACTGGCGGTGGAGGAAGAGTCGTACTCCAGCAATAAGGACTGGAGGGATGGAGCGAGGAGAGAGAGGGAGTCTGGGAGGCGGAGGAAGCAGCTCGAGAGGGAGAGAGAGCGGAGGTTGGTGAGGTGGCCGAAGGCAGAAAGCGCAAGGCTGTTGAGCTTGAGATGGGTGATGGAGAGGTGCATGAGCGAGCCGAGGGACCAGAGGCGGGCGGACAGGAAGCTGCCTTGCGTGCTATTGCTGCCTAAGGTCAATTCTAGGTGCTGCAACGAGGGGCCGAGAGGCGAGCAAGCCCCGGCTTGCGCGGCGGCTGCAGCGGCAGTGGTGGCGGCGGCAGCGGCAGCAGCAGCAGCAGTGGCCAAAGCAGCACCAGCACTAGCGGCAGCGGCAGCAAGAGCAGTGGCAGCAGGAGGAGCGGCAGCTGCAGCGGCGGCGGTGGCCGAGGCAGCGGCAGCAGCGGCGGTTTCCGAAGCGAGGGTTAGGGGTAGATAGGCCAGCAATGACCCTTTGCATGCGTGTCGCCTTGTTCCACCCATGCAACTCTGTCCACGCTCATGTGAGACAGCGACGGCAAGGAGAACAAACCCACGGGAAAGTCCGCATTCTAAGTAACGACGCGGGCGTGAATTGAACCCGAGACCTTGAGCCGTTGGAGGGAGGTCAGTCGACTGAGGGGGTGGAGCGGCACAATAGACTCAACACCCTCTAGAGTCAAGTGGCGCAGCTGTGGGTCCCAGACTACTTGGTCGAAGGGGAACGACTCGAGGTGATTGCAGGAGCGCAGGGTGAGGCGAGTTAGGGTTTCCAGCCACGTGGGCGGGAGAGAGCGCATACGGCATTCGTCCAGCGCGACCTCTTCCAGCTTCGCCCACGCGTCGCACGCGTCTGGTAACTCGTCGTCGAAGCGTCGCAGCTCCAGGCGCCGCAGCTGCTGCAGCGCGTCGATGCTACTCGGGACATGCAAGTGGCACGAGCAGTCGATGCGGAGAGAGGTGAGCGACGGGAGGTCGCCCAGGGAATCCGGCAGGCGGAAAACCGGAGAGTTCTCGCACTCGCCGATGGAGAGGTGCGTCAAGATTTTCAGCTGCCCGAAGTTCTTGGGCAGCTCCCACAGTTCCGGACAGTTGAGATGCAACTCCCGGAGCGCGGGCAGAAGGCACAGTCCGTCCGGGAGGTGTGCCAACTCGTTGGCGCGGAGGCGAAGCACGCGCAGCGACGAGAGCGACGAGATGGAATCAGGAAGCTCGGTTACGTTGGGAGGAAGCACCAGAGCGAGCTCCTGTAACTGCGGCGCTGCGGCGCGGAAGAATGAATCGAGCGATGCGAGGCTGATTGTGAAGGGCGGCGGTGCGGCAGTGAAACGAGGCTCGCCGAAGCTGAGGCGCGTGAGCTTGGGACAAGCGGCGAGCACCGAGCTAAGGAAATCGTGGTCGTAAAAATCGACGGCACCGTCGCCCAGCGTGAGGGAAGTCACGCTCGGCGCGCGGGACAGCGTGCGGAGGAGCGCGGGTGTGGAGAGCGTGGGGACGGGAAGCAGCGAGTCGTCTTGATCGCCAGGGTCCTTCCGACGAGATGACGAGTCGGCGGCAGCGCTCATGCGCACGACGCCGGGGAGCAGCAAGGCCCATCGCTTCGACACCATCCCCAAGCCATGGCACGGGTTGACATCGGACTCGACGCTGGGTTCCGCGTCACTCGAGGCCGCGTCGACTTGAGAGTCATTGCGGGGGGTTGTTGCGAGGAAGAGAATCCTGGATAGGATCTCGTCAGGTAGACTGTTCATTGCCGCTGATGATTCCCGCTTGCTGCTGCTGCTGCTGCTGCTGCTGCGGCTGCTGCTGCTGCTGCTGCTGCTGCTGCTGCTGCTGCTGCTGCTACTGCTGCTGCTGCTGCTGCTGCTGCTGCTGCTGCTAGCTGCTGCTGCTGCTGCTGCTGCTGCTGCTGCTGCTGCTGCTGCTGCTGCTGCTGCTGCTGCTTGCTGCTGCTGCTGCTGCTGCTGCTGCTGCTGCTGCTGCTGCTGCTGCTGCTGCTACTGCTGCTGCTGCTGCTGCTGCTGCTGCTGCTGCTGCTGCTGCTGCTGCTGCTGGGGGATGGACCTGGATGCTCGTAACGCGAATGCTCGTAACGGAGATGCTTGTTATGAAGGTGCCCGTCACCTAATTCCTCCACGCGCCAGACGACTTGGGTGGACCCATAAATTTCCCGCCAAATGTATATGGCGCTTGGTGATGCCTATAAAGCCTTCTAGATATGGAAACACGGAGTGCAGCCAATCTCGGACCACAGGAGAAAAAGTGGGAGTGTGGGTGATATTAGGAACATCCCAGGGTTGGCTTTACCTTGTGCACCTGAACCTTGTGCACCTGAACTTTGCACAGCGCCACCTCGTGCACGTTCACCACTTGGCGGCTTCATGCCTGGAGGCGCCCATCCCTCAGGCCGGCTAAAACACTTGAACCACGGGTGTCCAGCCTTCTTGCAGTACCAGCAGGCACCCTCCATTCGGGTGCTCCCCCTGCCACCAGAGCTCCTATGTCCCTCGTTGTAGTCACCTCGGCCTCTCCCTTTGCCAAAGCCTCTCCCACGGCCTCGGCCTCTCCCTCCCCCTCTTCCTCTGCTGCCTCCTGCAGCTCCATACCCCTCAGCAGTTTTGTTGGCAGCACCACCACCTGTGTGGCGCCTGCGGAAGTCCTCCTGCTGAATCTGCTGCCATAGCCACTCTGGTGTCCACTGGTCCTGCTGAGTGTTGAGGGTGGGGATGAGGTTGTCCCACGAGTTGTCGAGCACCGAGATGATCTTGGTGCACTGCTGCATTTGTGACACATTTCTGCCCGCCGCTGCCATCCTCGCATAGGTGTCCTTGATCTTGTCAAGGACCGGCTTCACATCATCGCCCGGTCGCATGGAGAGGGCAGCCAGCTCCTTCTCCAACACAATCACCATCGGCAGCGTGTTGGGCTGAATCACGTCGCGCAGTAGCTTCCACGCCTTTGGTCCAGAATCATCCAACTCCACCAAATCCTTGATGTGTTGGAACATATCGTTGTTGACCGATTGAAGGATTATGTCGTACAGCACCGCACTCTTCTCAATCCACCGATCGCGGGCATCTCCTTCCTCCGGAATCTTCTCTTCAACCATCGCAAGTTTCAGCAGCTTGTAGCGCTTGAATGCACTCCGCATCCGCCCGCTCCATTCCTCATAGTTGGAGCCATCCAATGCCTCGATCTTGGATGGTGGCGGCTCATTCCTCTTCTCAGCTGCATCTCCACTCCCTTGACTCATTTACTCTGCTCCCAATCACAGGTTTCAGCTCCCCCCTTGCTGTCCACACCAAAGTCTCACAATAGTTTCACAAGTGTCGGCGCCAACGAAATTTCGGCAGAGTTTCCCCTTAGCGGAAGTCACATGCAACCTCCAGAACTCCACTTAGGCACGCCCACAGGCCATGGTGGGTCTAGGAGGGTCTTCAAACTTCACTAGACTCTTCACAAAGTCCTTTATCAGCTCTGATACCACTTTTTATGAACTAAGGACAGAGTCTATGAAGATTAGGGGCTGAAATATCTCGAAATCATCAACTACAATTCTGGACAGAAAAGTCGTCGTCACAAGAAACGTTGTCGACGATTAACGCACGGTTAGAATTCTTTGAAACTCGAGTATGTTGTAGCCCTTGACCGTGTCTATCTTTCCCAATTTGAATAGTATCAAAATATGGAGTATAAATCAAGTTATGAACTTCGGCGCACTAGGGGGTATGCTGCCATAGAAAACGTAACTCAATCACAATTATCTCACAAGTTCACACAAGAAAGTTGGAGTAGCAATAGAACCAGGTAGAAGGGGATGAGGAGGACGAGAGGGAAGATCCCAAGGGAGTCCTCAACCAAGGAAACCCCATACCACACAATTCCCCTCTCTATAGGCACCACAATTTTGACATTTGTCACTTTCCCAACTCATGCCATCCACCTCACCCAACTTGGCCACACTTACCAACCTGGTTTGGCTTCTCCCAACCACTTGCCATCATCTACAGTGATGGTGACGAATTTCCCAACCCCCAAAAGTCTGTACCCCTTATTGAGTCAACCCGCAAATTCCCATAGTCGCCGCATCTCAATCAAAACTTCGAACGATCATATCTTCCTCGTTCTTGCTCCGATCGCAGCGATTCTCGGTTCGTCAGGAAGCTCTTGAGCAGAGGAGTCACTTCAGATATCTGCTCAAGGCAAATAACACTCACACACACTCAGAAAATCCAAACAACACCAAACACAAATTCTTGCAGGAGTGCGCCAGGCGTAAACACGCCGGCCTCGATGTTGTTCTTTAGCGTTATGCGTGAGGGGTGACCGAGGCGCTGGTGCCAGATGGCATCATCGGCGCGGAATCCAGAGGTGCGCATGTAGCGCGCGTGTGCTTCTGCGGGGTCCTCGTCAGGTGCTTGGGCAGGTTCCGCTGCTGTTTCTTCAGCTTCATCGTCCCAGTTCGCCGTTGTCAGCATTAGCGCAAGAAATTCCCTGTCAATAATGGTGGAGAGGGGAATGTGTTATGTGATGCTATCATTTGCATTCACGTCTGTCTGCCTCCCATCATATGCTCGTGTGTTGCATGCGTGGTGTGAGCGTGTGCAAGAATTTGTGTTTGGTCATGTTTGGATTTTCTGAGTGTGTGTGAATGTTATTTGGCTTGAGCAGATATCTGAAGTGACTCCTCTGCTCAAGAGCTTCCTGACGAACCGAGAATCGCTGCGATCGGAGCAAGAACGAGGAAGATATGATCGTTCGAAGTTTTGATTGAGATGCGGCGACTATGGGAATTTGCGGGTTGACTCAATAAGGGGTACAGACTTTTGGGGGTTGGGAAATTCGTCACCATCACTGTAGATGATGGCAAGTGGTTGGGAGAAGCCAAACCAGGTTGGTAAGTGTGGCCAAGTTGGGTGAGGTGGATGGCATGAGTTGGGAAAGTGACAAATGTCAAAATTGGGGTGCCTATAGAGAGGGGAATTGTGTGGTATGGGGTTTCCTTGGTTGAGGACTCCCTTGGGATCTTCCCTCTCGTCCTCCTCATCCCCTTCTACCTGGTTCTATTGCTACTCCAACTTTCTTGTGTGAACTTGTGAGATAATTGTGATTGAGTTACGTTTTCTATGGCAGCATACCCCCTAGTGCGCCGAAGTTCATAACTTGATTTATACTCCATATTTTGATACTATTCAAATTGGGAAAGATAGACACGGTCAAGGGCTACAACATAATCGAGTTTCAAAGAATTCTAACCGTGCGTTAATCGTCGACGACGTTTCTTGTGACGACGACTTTTCTGTCCAGAATTGTAGTTGACGATTTCGAGATATTTCAGCCCCTAATCTTCATAGACTCTGTCCTTAGTTCATAAAAAGTGGTATCAGAGCTGATAAAGGACTTTGTGAAGAGTCTAGTGAAGTGTGAAGACCCTCCTAGACCCACCATGGCCTGTGGGCGTGCCTAAGTGGAGTTCTGGAGGTTGCATGTGACTTCCGCTAAGGGGAAACTCTGCCGAAATTTCGTTGGCGCCGACACTTGTGAAACTATTGTGAGACTTTGGTGTGGACAGCAAGGGGGGAGCTGAAACCTGTGATTGGGAGCAGAGTAAATGAGTCAAGGGAGTGGAGATGCAGCTGAGAAGAGGAATGAGCCGCCACCATCCAAGATCGAGGCATTGGATGGCTCCAACTATGAGGAATGGAGCGGGCGGATGCGGAGTGCATTCAAGCGCTACAAGCTGCTGAAACTTGCGATGGTTGAAGAGAAGATGCCGGAGGAAGGAGATGCCCGCGATCGGTGGATTGAGAAGAGTGCGGTGCTATACGACATAATCCTTCAATCGGTCAACAACGATATGTTCCAACACATCAAGGATTTGGTGGAGTTGGATGATTCTGGACCAAAGGCGTGGAAGCTACTGCGCGACGTGATTCAGCCCAACACGCTGCCGATGGTGATTGTGTTGGAGAAGGAGCTGGCTGCCCTCTCCATGCGACCGGGCGATGATGTGAAGCCGGTCCTTGACAAGATCAAGGACACCTATGCGAGGATAGCAGCAGCGGGCAGCAATGTGTCGCAGATGCAGCAGTGTACCAAGATCATCTCGGTGCTCGACAACTCGTGGGACAACCTCATCCCCACCCTCAACACTCAGCAGGACCAATGGACACCAGAGTGGCTACGGCAGCAGATTCTGCAGGAGGACTTCCGCAGGCGCCATACAGGTGGTGGTGCTGCCAACAAAACTGCTGAGAGGTATGGAGCTGCAGGAGGCAGTAGAGGAAGAGGGGGAGGGAGAGGCCGAGGCCGTGAGAGAGGCTTTGGCAGAGGGAGAGGCCAAGGTGACTATAACGAGGGGCATGGGAGCTCTGGTGGCAGGGGGAGTACCCGAATGGAGGGAGTGTGCTGGTACTGCAAGAAGGCTGGACACCCGTGGTTTAAGTGTTTCAGCCGGCCTGAGGGATGGGCGCCTCCAGGCATGAAGCCACCAAGTGGTGAACGTGCACGAGGTGGCGCTGTGCAAGGTTCAGGTGCACAAGGTTCAGGTGCACAAGGTAAAGCCAACCCTGGGATGTTCCTCATGGTTGAGGATGTGAAAGGGAGTGAGAGTGATATGGGCTCAGTTGGGAAGGTTGTGATGCACCCCCTCACTCACTGGGTGATAGATTCAGGTTGCACAAGTCACATGACCCCACGGGCAGATTTGTTTGACGAGGTAAAGCCCTCCGGAAAGATTAAGTTTGTGGCTGCCGCTTCAGGTGCTTTGCTCCCTGTGATTGGTGTTGGGAATGCCAAGGTAATGGGAGCCAATGGGGGGCTTGTGGGGCTAGGGAATGTGTTGTTGGTTGAAGGCTTGTCCGCTAACCTTCTTTCTGTGCGCCGGCTGCAGAAGAGCAAGGCCAAAGTGACCTTTGACCCAACCAGCTGCCATGCAAAGCTTGGGAAGCTGCTGCTATGGAACCTAGAGGAGAAGAGCAGCTGTATCAAGGACCTGTGGCAGCTGCCCATCATCCCTTGGAACGGGAAACCTCAAGCAACGGCAGCGGCAGCAGCAACGGCAAAGGCAACTGCAGGAGGAGAGGAGATTGCACCAACTGATGGGGCCCTGGATGCAGTCAAGAAGGTGCAGCAGCCACAGCAGCCACATGGTGAGGTGCTTG